CAGAAGTAAGACTTGTCACAGGAAAAAAAAATGCTAAAAAGTAAGAAAATATAACTACGAGCCAATCATTTAACAAAAAAGAGAAAAGACGTTCTCAGGATAAAGCCCTTCTAGAGGACTATCTACCGTGCTTTCTTTGCACTGGGAATGAGTCATACATTTAATGACTCTTTCAGAACTGTGCCTACCATACAATATTCTCATTTTTTCGAACATTATATTTATACCTGTGATACTACTGTGTGACGTTTTGTATTTTTGAGACAGGAGAAATTCCTCTCCTAAAATATCCTTATTCCTTCGACTGGAGCTAGGTGGTATGCCTGAAAAACGTTTTCTGATAAATTTTCCACATCTATATAGAAAAGGTGAACTTCTAATAAGTGAATGATACTATTAAATCTAATTCCAAATGCTTCTAATTTCAACATATGGATTATAAGATATTAACGTTTTTTTGTAAGTTTACAATGAGAATAATGTACTGTTCTTATGAACACAAGTGTCTAGGGATAAAAGGTTTGGAGTGACAGAAATAGTTAAGACTTATGCAACTGGAAGACAAACTTTTGGGGATGAAATCTCTTCTTCAAGGACACATGGTTTGTATATCCAAATTCTTCCAATTGCATTGGTTATTCTAAGATAAGTTTTTAGTCCTATTTACAAACCCTAATTTTATAATTAAGTTTTCAGAAGCCACATACACTTTTCCTTAGCTCTTTCACAGAGATTTTGTTTTGCAATCTAGCAATGACACATTTTAGTTTGACAATTTAGAATTGTCCAGTTCTGTACCCTACAAATCCCAAGTTAGTGAGATTCTTCTAGAGCACTCCAAATACAGTGTGTGTCAAAGACTGAAAGAACAAATGCTATTTTTATTTAAATAAACGCATAGCAAGACAAATGAACAATGCAACTTCTTTCTGAGCCTTTCGGGTGAGATCCTGTGTCTGAGGATCTGATTTGTGATGACTTTTCAAATGAAAAATATTCACTAACTGCAATGAATATGGAAAGATTTTTATTCCCAATACAGCAATGTGAAAGAAGCCAAATTGCCTGTCATTCACGTTAATTTAATTACACGACCACATTCAATTATCCAATATAATATGCAAATGAAGCGAGTTGACAGCACATGCTAATTCTATTCATAATACTAATTAAATCAAACAATGAAAGGGAATAAAAGTGTAATGAAATAGAAGGATATTTTTAATTAACAGGAACATTTTAATTAGAAACTGTAATCCTAGAGTCTGATATAGTATGATTAGCTTATTGAATGATTGGACGTTATTTTTATTACACAGTTTAGTTTTACACGTTCATCCTTAGTATCATGGGACTTGTATTTCCTATGTTAATAGATTAAACGGTGGCCAAACAGAGAATCAGCTTCCCTGACCATACTGCGTGCAAAGCAGATGCCTAATAAAGCCAAGCTCCGCTACGGCATGATTACGGAATGTCGCCCTGTGAAACGCAGGCTGTCCAACTCTATAGTAAACAAAAGCTCACGTGCCGATACAAAACAGACAGTGCAGTTTGGGCTTGACTAATGATGTTAAAGCACTTAAAATGTTAAAGAAACACTCTTTGCTTTTTGAGATTTTCAGTTTCATAACTGATTTATTTCTTCAGTGACAGCAGCTGCCCTGAAAAAGCTTTACGAATGTTAAAACAAAATACGAAAAAAGGAAAGGAATATTACTAATATATTACATGTGGGCAGAGTCAGCAAAATCATAGTCTTCTTAAAATAAACAGAGCAAACACTATCAAAACATTTAGGAATGTGTTCCTTAGGAACTCATTGTCCTCATCGCTCCTCAACAGAATCGCTTGGGCCTGGACCAAAAGACAACCGTGGTGAAAACGCTCACTGGGACCCCAGCCACTGTCTCTGCGTGTGAGTAGGACCCATCCGTGAGGCCCTCCTCTTGTTTGGAGCTCCTGGAAACTGCGGTGAAATATGAATCTCAAAGCTTCACAAGAGAAAATAACTTTCCTTTTTAATTCGCCACTCAACTAAACGTAAAGAGTTTTACAGATAGTCTAATAAAACCAGGCAAACCTGTATTACATTAAATGATTGGCATATGATGCTCTTGGAAGATTTTCTTCTATGAATGTAAAATATTTAGGAAATTGCTCTTTTATTATTTTGACTGCATAGTGGTAATAATTCACTTACTTAAATCACAGTACTACTACAGCAGGTCAATGCTGAGGTTGACAGGCTGTAAAATTTCCTTTTTAGAAATCTATCTATTCTCCAAACCGGGAAACTGCAAATTTTTTGAATAATTCATGTCATTTTTTTCTTTATTTCAGTATACTGGTTTGGATATTCATCTGATTATGTGAGTAGACAAAGGAATCGGAAAAGAACACCAAAAACTGAGTAACTATTTGTTCCTTTTTTGAGAGTTGAAAGGAATGAAAACATGCAAAGGTTTGTAATAAGGAACACAAATTTAGAGAAGAAAAGATTTATTTATAGTCTTTTCTCTAAAGAAAAGACAAACATTTCAAAACAAATGCGTATCTGACTTCAAGAATAATGCAAATCTGCTTTGAAATTCATCAGTCATTGACTCTCAAAGTTTGTTCAAATTCTGAATAAAAAGAGCTATCAAGCTCTACAGAAATTCGTTTTCACAGCTCAAGCCTGGTGTATCTATTTTTATTATGCAGTTCTTCCCAGGAGTTCAAACGTACTATTTAAAAGCTTTCACTGTGAGATCAATTTTTTATTTTTAGAAGGACTCTACAGATGATCAACAATGAAAGAAATAACTGCAAGCTCAAAATGTAATAAAAAATTAAACCACAACTAGATGAACAGAAAGCACTTCCCTTTTATGAAAGGCACTGTGGAAGTCACAACATTAACAGTGCCTGAAAATAACGACCATAAACAAGTCTGGCTGCTTTGCCCAGTAGTAAGAGAAAAAATACTTCCTTTTACTAAAAAAATCCTGCCCACATTTTGTAAGTACCTGAGTAAGCAATCCTTCGTTTTTTCAAAATGTGTTGTTTATTCATTTGTGGTGTTTTTTTTTTTTTTAAAGCCAAACCAAAATGCCACTTTTTTAGTTGAAAGCTTATCAAATAGGAATATGAGAAATTAAATTAAAAGTACGTCATGACATCTCTTGAGATAGCACCACCAAAGCAAACCGCCGTAAAAGACTGCTTTTAGCGTACGAAAAGCACTGACATACCGTGTTTGTTTAACCAAAGACCTAAACTTGACTCTCGGAGCTGCAGAAGCTACCTTTTAATCTCGAAAATTAACTCAGTCCGGGGATAGATTAGTGATGGCACACGACCTCAACCCCAAGTGCACGTGCTGGAGACTCCAAGACACTGCAAAATCACCACCTGGGAAGCATGCCCACAGACAAATGCATTTTGCACACACTTAGTCTCCGGCCTGCCTGCCGACAGCCACCGCAGCCAGCTGCTGCCGTGGCACGGTGCCTGCTCGCCACGGTCGGACCTTCGCTTCGCCCCAGGGCGCGAGCGCTAAACAGCGACAGGCACCAGACTACTGTAACTGACATCGCTGGTAGGAAATCCCTCTTCTGCGCTATTCCTGGCACGTTTATAGCCGCGAGTCCTCCGTGCAATGAATCACATCTGTTTATACTTGTGTGCCAGAAAAGAAATTTTCAAACTGCAGAGAAAAGACAACATTGTTCGCTGGCACTGCTGGATGCCAGCACGACCCGTTGTGCAGCAGTGGAAATCAGAAAATGGCAGCGGTATCACATGGATTTGCAAAACGACCGTATTAAAAAGTGTTGCCCACAGTCAGCTCCAGACCCTCAGTGGGATTTGATTGCACAGGGCAGGAAGGCTGCAGGATCCTCCCTCCGGCTGGGGCCAAAGCCACAGAAACATTACTATATAATTACATTATATAATTACATAATATTTCTGACAGCACTGTCAGCTTTAAGATATTGTAACGTTCCAATTCTAGTCAACAACTGTAAGAACGTTATCGGACAGCTTTTCTCTAAACCTTTGCTGACAAGTTGTAACACTTCCTCCTTCTGCTCTTCAGCTTAACTGAGGGCACTCAGGTCCTCATCCTGAACCCCCACCCCAAAAGTTAAACAAAACCAGGAACCAGGTGTTACAAAAACGGAGAGAGCAAAAAACAAGTAAATTTATAAAATATAGTATTCAACTGAACCATACCAAATATGTAGGCACTGTAACACAGTTTCTACCCATCCAGAGTCAGGTTCACATAATAAAGAGCCAGTGCCAACTTCTACCCTGCCCAATACACCCTGAGATGCTACACACAAGCTGAGGAAACTTGTGAGATTTTTAAGACTAAAATATTTGAAACAGTTTTGAAGTTTTGTGTCTGGGTTATTTTGTAAGCTAGTATGAGAGGTCATAGAGTCCAGTGACAAAAGCAGACAACAATCAAGGAGGCTAAAGGGGAATTTCCACTGTTTGTTTGACAGAGTGTTTGGTTTACTACTAAAAAGATGCAAGGAAAAGAATGGCTTAAACTTAAATGAGAGTTCTGGCTACCAGCAAGATGACCCTGTTGGCTGTGTTGGTATCTGAGGACATGTCTTCATGGCAGACTAGCTTAGTTGGCTTTAAAAGGGTTTACCTGGGTACCAGAGCCATCCAATCGAATTGATATGAAGCTAACTTGGAATTAAAAATATCAGTTACTAAGTATATCTTGGCAGTGAGTAGGGCTAATTAATGTAATGTCAGCATCACTGTCTGCGTAACAACACGGGAGGTTGCTTATGGCCACATAAAATTAATGGTTTTGTGTTAAGATGCAAGTTGAGCTTCTCTTTTGCAAACACGTATGTTTGTGCTCCTAGGAATGCCAAGCGCTCGAAAACAACGTTCAGGGGATTAGTTCTCTTGAGGGATCCATGACTACATGTCCATGACTAAATGTGCACTTGATAACTTCTGGTCCCATTTGCCATTTGCCTTACCTGATTATCTGTGTTGTTTACAGTGAAATAGCCCACACAAATAATGACTTCGTGCAGCAATCCTTCACAGGTATGCTGGGAACAGTACCACAGCAGAGAGCTGATAATATGCCGGAATGCAAGGGACAGTCCTTCAGCACCCACAATAGACTGAAAAAAAAAGGCCAAGAAACAGACATTACAGTCTAGTGGCACGTTACAGAAATTGTGTGAATTACATATACATCAGTTGCACCCTTCTTTTGGTTTTTTGCAAAGTATTGATGACGTTCTTTGTTGCGATGACTTCGGAGGAGGACAGAATCAGTTCTCTTCTTTCAGTAACTTAGTGTTTACAACTGGATTATAACATTAAAAGCTACAAAAATCAGAATAAATTAAAATTTTAAAGGGATGTATGAAAGAACTGCATTCTGCTTAGTTGACATTCAGTGTGGCATTAGGTTGACCATTTCATTTGACATACATTACATGTTCCAGGAAAATTTAATGCTAATAATTTTCCTTAGTAATAAGCATAAGAAACCAAACCATCTTCATTTCTGCAAAACAGCAAAATCCATTTCTCATTAATAACTTGCGCTCTGAACAGAATACAAAGATTAATAACAAATAATGACTTTTCAAACATTAAAAAAAAAGTCAGAAACATTCAAAAGGAGAGAACACTCAGCTGCAAAGCTTCATGGGGTGCTTTTTAAAAGTAGGCAAATTGCTGTAACATGGAGATTCAGAATTAGATTTTATCTGTGCAGCCTACAGCCTCTATTTAATAAACATGTCAAACAGACAGAACGACACAAGGTCAAAGGGGAAAACTAAAGCACAAGGAACGAGCATGACAGTCTACTAACTCCAGAGAAACAGAAATGCAGGCCTGTGAGAAAATCTCTTGCACTTGAGAGTTTTCTTGATTTTATACCTTGTAGCCCGTGTTAAGTACATATACACAAACCCCACTCTGTTGTATAGTTTAGTTTCAGCATACTCCAAATCTACCCAGCAGAAGTGGAATCCTTGACAACTAAAACAGACTCAGCTGTGGTTCCATCTTGAACCTCAAGCACTCTGGTAAGTTAGTTTATTTTCGAAATTTAACGCACAATACAGCCACCATTTACTGCTTTACATCACGTAAAGGCCACGTTCACAGGTCCGCCCTTATTTAATTAGTGCTGTCCACGCTCGCTGTGACCCAGCACTCTGCGTTTAACCTCTCCTGATAACAACAGGCCAAAGGGCACCTGAGTTTGTGTACAAAAGTTAAACTAATTTTTCAAGGAAACTATGCTTCCTTTTTAGTCAGAATTAATATCAGCTCAGGATCCTGCGTTGTTTCCCACTACCATCTTTCAATTGTTTAGACTGTCAATTAAATGAAATATATACCCACGAGCCATCTGTGCTAATACAAACTCTAGAATACCAGCCCCCTTCTGCTAATCAAAACCCCCTATTCTATAGTCCTACTATTACATGATAAAACTCCTCTTTAGGGGTAATACTCAGACAGTACATAAACCACGCTTTTTCCCTCTGCTGTCTGCTAGCCTGCCACAGCCCACGAGCTCAGAATGCACAGCGAACTGCCTCAGGTGTATGCTGATTTTGTAACATTTCAGAAACAAATCACATTAATACACTGAAAGGGATGGCTGCGGGGACTGCACAAGCGTGCCCGTCCATCACAAATATTATGGCTACAATTCAGTAAGACAGCTAAGCAGACAGTTCCTGCGTGGAGCCCTGCATCGATGAACCGAACGAAATAATTCACACTGATTAGTCTTCCACCACTCTTTATGCAATAATTACTATCTTGCACAATTTTATGTGCAACAAACTAATGCAGATCAGAGGATTTGGGAATTTATGCTGACGGTTTGTTACAAATGCTCAGATATAATGATAGTTGGTAGAGGGACAAATACATACAGAGTTAAGTAGAAGCTTGTATTTTAAAAATTAATAGTGGTTTCTTGAGATATCGGAGAGCAGCTTGTCAGCCAGTGTGGTTTGCTACAGCCCCCCATAAGCTGTAACTGTCCCAGTTCTGGTCTTACTCTCTGGTTTATACTTCTCGTATCTACAGCAACAAATAAACATCCAGTCTCAAACCAGGAGCTACTGAACAAGCTGTAGAAGAGAACTAGTTTGATACACCTTGATTTACAGAATAAAATAGGAGTTAATGGTGGGTGTAAGAGTTTTTTTACTTGAAACTCCAGTAAATGTACTGTTTTAGTAAAAAAAACCCCACAACTGCATCTGTACAGATGAGCGTTGCTACATGCAAATTGCTTGTTGCTGTTATCACAGATACTAAATATCCTAAAAATCAAAGTCAAGAAATATGAACTGAGGGAGACTTATCCTAAATTATTTTATACTCATGCAAAGCTCTTGCTGAGTTTAATGCATTTCAGATGGAGTGCATAGTACGGCTTATATACAAATTAACTATTAAATGAAACAGAAACCTATTCTGATGAATTGCATAAGATTGCAAAACACGTTTAGCAGCATCAAAGCAATGCTTTGGACAGGTGTATTATATTAACAAGACAACAGCTTTGCCAATTTATCTGAGAAATATACTAGTATTTTTTTGGTATGGCAAAATGATTCCTTTACACTAGAAATCTGTTCACAGAAGAAGATATGAAAAGACTTATCTTCTCAAGACTCAAATGAGATAGTTTTTGATTTTTTTTTTGTGAATAAAAATTATCAAAAGTTAAGTTTCCAATTTTTGGTGAATACAATTTTACTTGGATTAAAAAAGTTTGATATCAAGTGATTTTCCTTTTCAGTTGTACAATCTTAATGCAAGCGGCCACTGCAAGCACTGAAAAACGTAAACTGTAGTTATAATATAAGCAAGTCCTTTCACTTTAGAAAAACTATTATTTCATGCTTTTGATCAAGATTTTTTTTACATTTTTGGGGATTATTAAATATAAAAAGTACTACGCTAAAAGTGAAGTTTTTTGAATAGAAGTAGTAATGGATGGGATTCAGCACTTCGCATAGTCCAGATTTTCAGTTTTTGCATAAACTCATTTGCCATAGCTATACAGTGGAAATAGCAATAATCAGCAATTCTAAGCATGAAAAAGCCCTAATCATTTAATCGTGACAGTTCCTTCAGTAACTAAAATCTTAAAGACAAAACTTAGTCCAAAAGTATACACAATAACTAATGTTTTCACACTAAGCAAAAGTTTTAAAACATCTGTTACCTGAAAGGCAGGCAGATCAAGAACAGCAAAACTATTGAAGAAACGTAAACTCTGAATGGCAACCTGGATTGTGTTCGCTGCATAGCTGTCTTTAGGACTTGCTGTGTTTGGATCTGAAATCGTCCCGTGGAAAAGAACACAGTACAGCATATGCAAGACTCCAACCAGATCCGTAGACTGAAGAACTGCTGTTAGTCCTGTGGGGTCCTGACGTGTATTGTCAAATATGTTCCAAGATCTGCCAAGGAAACATTAAGCCGTCTGAGGAGGAGACCAGCACTCAGTGAGAACACTTACCCAGGACGCAGTGCTTCTAATAAGTCAAATGTTAGAAAACCAGTACGCCACTAAAAAGGTGAAAACCTGATGTCAAAGGTGTCAAGAAGCCACAACATTTCCAGAAAATGCTTTCAATAATCTGGGCACTGTCTCGTGCTCTCTTTTAATTGCAGTGCAGCAATAAATACCTCTAAATACCTTTCTCCACACACTAGTGTCTTTGCTCCCAACGTGGCTTCACCATACCAGCACGAGACCATGCAGAAATTCAACAGCTTTGAAGTCAGAAGCCTGGGGGCACTTCGGGGGCTCCCTGCAAGCCCTGTCTCAGGTCAGCAGCCCTACACCCATCTTTCTTTCTTGCAGTAGCAGCCAGCAGAGGCGGGAGAACTCCCCGGAGCCTCGCACTGCCTCAGTGACGGGCTGCAGGCGCTGGAACAAACTGCCTACCTAAGTAGCAAAGTAAGTTACCAGGACCAGATGATCTTAATCAAATAGTTCTGCAGGAATTTAAGAATGAAGTGGTTGAGCAGTTAACAAAACACACTACTTATTTCAGTCAGATGTTATTATGGGAGACTGTACGGTAGCAAAACACAAGTATGAAATGCTCGAGACAAACCGGCACATCTTGTGCAAACGGAAACGAAGTTTCTTTGGTGCCTTTTGGGAATGCATATAAAATAACAGAGAAGGTTTGTGGCTATCTAGGATATCAGGACAGAGAGGCAAATAACTCGGGATGCCTTCTCCCTTCTCACATTCAAACTTTCATAATTCCTCCATGATTTGTACTGCTTCTGTTTTTTCACATTACTAATCACCCAGAAAATGATGCAGGACAGTCACTACTAAGGAAGACTAAGACTGTCACTACTCTGCGGGTTAAATAATGTGTAGAAGGCAGTCAAATAAAAAACAAAGCACATAAAATAATTTAAAAACTTTATATATTCTGAGCTCTAATTCATACACATCACATAAATCACCTGAACTTCATTATTGAAATACATTTAGTCTATATTGGCAAACAAAACACTAAAATATTAAGATACAGTGAACAGCAACACTGAAAATACAGTACATCAAAATCTGGTCTTTACCTCATCTACTACATTCCAATCTTAAAAGAAAAAAGAACAAAAAAGAAAGAAGTGTCAATATCAAAAGGGACTACAAAGATTGATTCTATATAGTATTTTTTTTATAAATGAAGGAAAATATGACAGGTGATATGAGAAAATATTATAAAAGGACAAATTAGATGAGTGTATCTTTCCCTTTTATAATAACTAAAAGCAAAGGAAATGGGAAAGTAGTGGAAACAAGAACCGCTTTTCTAAAACAATCCGTAACTTTGAAGACCTCAGCTGAATACAGAAAAGACTGGACATTCAGAGGGCTCAGAATGTTCCTGCTGGCCAGAATCAGTAAGGAGCTTCTCCTGGACTAGAACGGCTCTAAATGATCTTTTCAGTATCTGCATCAGCAGCACCTAGCACCACTCTGTCACACACATTGCTCTGCTCCAGTGAAGCTTCCAACACAGATCCTGGGTAGGCTGATTGATCCTGCTTTTTGTGATACAGACACTTGTCTTCTATGGAGCAACTAAACCACGAATTCAGCAGTTATCAGGTTTTGGCGATCAACATCTTGTTCTGTCATTTTCACATGTTCTAGTGAAGCAAAATAGCAGGGAAGAAAGCACCACCTCACCCAACAACGTCTATCAATAAGAATTTCTATTTGTAACAGCACACCATTGCTTCCTCTGACCAAAGAGCAAGCGAGACAAGAACAGGCAGAGCAGGACATCAAACCTGCATTCTCCACGTCCCAAAGAACACCCTGGTGCTCGGCTAACTTCAAATATGGCTTAAATATTTAAAGAGAAGAAAGAACAACAGTTATGTGAAACACCATCTTCGCAGTTATAGCAAACTTCAAAGCTAGTATTTATGCATTCTCTCATGAATACAATTCTTCTGTAAGGTAGCATGAGTGGGCACTAAATACATGAGCAGCACCTTGTTGCTTTATACGCAAGGCTGATGACCACCTCCCGTTGTGCCCCGAGCAGGGACCACTTAGCAGCTGGGTGGCACAGAGCGTGCACAGGTACTGCGAGGAGGCTGACACGTTGCAGGTGAAGGAGGGGAGATCTAAAAGGCTTAGGAAGGTTACTTTAGCACTCAGGCTATGACATATCTCTGCATAGCCTTTGAGGGGTCTTCTCAGAGCCCTGAGTTCTGGTAAATATGACAGGACAGTATTTGGGTTGTACACAACTTACTCTACTAGAACACATCCACTTCCATCACTGTTCACTCACATCTTTACATTTAGAAAACAGTTGCTCAGATGACTCACTTCCACTTTTATCAGTTAGATCACATGTGTAAGGAATGATCTTATCTGAAATTGGCACTTATGGGCACCATTTCTTTCCAGGTTATTTCTATTTACAAACTGTGAATGTTCGATGCTACTGGAAAAGCTTTTAAGTACAGCATCCTTTGCTGCCAACTCAAGGATTAACGTCCTGGTCCTATTTCAGCAATACCTATGCTGTATAAAACCACACAAGACTGCATAATTACTTCACAAATCTTTGAAAGAAGCAATCGGCTCTTTAGGTAAGACACAGTAAGAACAGAAGTAACGTAGCTGTACCTGTTTTCCAGTACCTGTGCTGCTTCACAAGTGACTCCACTACCACCAGTGACCACTGGACCTGCACTACCACTGTGCAAATTAGTGGTCAGCCATTCGTAGAGAGTCCACTGAGACAACCATGTCTGAGCTTATTGTACAGGTTCCAAAAACGGGTGTTTGTTTAACACTGTGACAGACAAAATCCTTGGAGAAACTGTGCCACAAAACCACGCGCAACTGTGCTTCAGAAGGCCACCAGTGCAGGATTCTCTCAAAATACTTGTAATAACATTTGAAAGCCAAGCTGATGTAAATTAAAAAGACGATTAAAATGATGATTTGATGTCACTTACCTGCTGCAAAAGAACAACTACAAACATTCACCTAGTAGTTTGCAACGCTCGTAACGACTCTAACATAAAAAAAGTGGAAAAAATACTAGAGCTCTAAGTGTGTTTTGGGTGGGGCTACGTTGCACGACAATTTATGGTATTACTTTCCTTTTCCTGCACCTGGAATCCATGCCCAAAATCTTCATTTTGAAGCTCTGTGGTCTTTAAGTGAGTGTGACTGAACGCAGTCAGCAGAGACACTTCCTGCACCATCACCTGGCCT